TCGAATTTCTCAGTACACATTCTTCAGATTTTTTATTTGATGTGAATAGAAAATGAACGGACAAAAAATCTGTGTTCCATAACTTACGATCCCACATACAATACAAAATAATACAAATACAAAACCAATACACAAAAAGAACCGTGCAAAACCAATATATTAAAATGAAAGGTGAAAAGAAGGTGATATATGACATATCAGATATATATACATAACACATCAGATATATATATAACATATCAGATATACATATAACATATTAGATATACATATATATACATAACATATACAACAACACATCCGAAGCATAATCATTAAGTCACAGATAAGAGCAGAAGTAAAATTAGCAACTAATAAGCCCAATAATACCAAAGTCGTTGGACAAGATAATGTCAACGTAGAACTTCCTAAAAGTGATATAGTTTCATCACTAGAAATCTGACTGCTTATTATACGTGTCAAGAGAATGTTGAACAGTGAGAGTGAAAGTTTTTTGTTGAAAATATTTAGGAATATTATATAATTGAAACGATTATAGACGATGTAGTCTAAAGTTCATCCAAAGCAAAATTTAATAAATAATTTTTTTTTTACTTATTTTAATTGCTGTTTTAAATAATAGTAAAAGTTTTAAAAAAAACGATTTCCACACTAATTTTAACGCCATCTAAATAGTTTTAAGCTAGTTTATTGAATGTAGAAGATAAAAAAAAAAAATAAATGAAAAACAAAATATTTGATCTGTAAATCTGTGAATCTTTATAGTACAAACCGTTACGGTATTCCTTAACAGCTTAGGTTAGTAGAGTACTCAGTTCAGCCCATCAGTACTCCTTCCAACTTATCGCTACATATGAACGAATTTTGTATGAATTTTATATGAAAAGTGGAAATTATTGCTGCGAAGGTGTACGTTTACACCCCTTTGTTATAGATTTAACAATAACTATTTCTCTTATAATTTACTGATTTTTATTGACAACTAATTAGTTAAAATGATCTCAACTAATATTTTGCATATTCTTGTAAGAACATTTTTGTTATTATTTCTTTTATAAAAAATGGAAGTCAAAGGTTAACAAAGCTTAACTGCAAGTTCAGGACTTCCCCAAGCGAGCTTCACCCTTTGTTTATTATTCTATTATTTCGCATTAACAAAAAGAAAAATCGTTAGAGAACGAGTACACTGTGAAAAATTTCGCTAATAAAGTTAATGTAGTACAACGAAATTAGCATTTATGTGGACAACTGCAATTTGTTTGTGTGGAAATTCTGCAGCACAGAGAAAAGTGCAATTATTTTTTATTTAATTTTTTATTTTCAGTTTCAGTTGCATTGTTTTGAATTGTTTTTGTCTGAACTTTTGTGTTATTCTGCTTTGTTTACTGTTCTGCTGTGTAGTTATTATTTTATTTCTCTTTAATATTTTTATTTATTTTCGCATTTTGTTTTTGTTTCTATTTTGCTTCCACATATATTGTAATAAGCTGCTAGGAAAGTCGAGACAGTCTAGTGTCTGCTGTTTTACCCTGAAACGTCACGGTAGTTACTACTGCTTCTGGTTCAACTGTTACTGGTGGGGAGCACATAAATGATATATAAAGCTGGTGCTTCCAGCTGCAAGATGCAGTTACTCCACTTATCTCGACGTGGCACAATTATTTATATTTTGCTGCATTACAGTTTGTCAAAGTATTTCCGTTTGATGTGCGTCTCGCTCTTATTCCTTCATTGTCATTTAAGTCAGCATGAAAGAAATCACAAAGCATTTTGCATTTTTCATTTTGCAGTGTGGAAAGCTCATTTCCGGAAACAAATTGCACAAACTTTGTAAATGTTCTTAAACTGTACAGATACGAGATACGAAGTGAAGAATACATAACCGCACAGCTAAAACAGACAATTCATTGCCATGCAATTCACAATTAACATTTTTATTTAATGCTCTGCATAAGTTGTTTTTATTTGAGTTATGATGAAATTCTTTTCGAGAAGATAGTTTCGTTTCTTCTCCGATTTCAGAAGCACTCAATTCCGTTTGTCATTAATTTGTTTTTCCTTGCCAAATGCAAATATAAATGCGTAAATGTTGGATAAAAGTGCAATTTCAATTGCAATTGTGCATTTCCTATGGCTTCGACATGAAAATTGCAATTTCAACTTATGCCTAACCGAAGTAATGTATGCATAGGCAATAGAAAATAGCAACAATAGTTGTGTATCTAGACTTGATACACTTATATCTTTTTATTTGCAGTGTTAGCAGTAATAACTTCGAAAAATTCTGTTCAGTTTAACTCAGTTTTCTGCTGCAAATATGACGAGGCAAATACGATTTGCTGCAATATTTAACAGAAAAATGTGTTAGTTGGGCATAGATACTCGTACGTTTCTATGCTCGTGCATATAATATATGAAGAAACAAATAGAGCATGTGTATATGGAAATGGAAATGGGAATGGAAGAATTAGATGCACCATTATCACTAAAAGTTCAACATAATTGCATAGCACTCAAGTGTATAATCTGCTTTTCCACCTCTATCATTTTCTATTAATGTTGCTTTTTATTTACACTCTTCAATGGCTTTGTGGAAAACATTTCAAATAAAGTATAAATCTAAAATTTATCTTAAAAACGTTGTCATTTTGCATAAAAACAGAATCTTTGAATTGGGTTGCTTATATTTTTTTTAGAAGAAAAAAACTCATCAAGCTATCGTATAAAATTTTTAAAGTGTAGTATAGATTACTTCACAGGGCAGTAAAATTTTTATAAAAAATTATAAAAACTCCCTTTCTACACCTATCACATTATTAAATTCAGATTCCTTTTAAAAAGAAAATATATTAAATCATATATTTTTGGGATTCCCGAACAATCGAATTATTGTAGAGAACAAAAATGAAGACGCTTTGGCCCGTGTTAATGCTTTCTCTAATGTATCTCCAGGGCTTCCAGTTTATGTCCCTTTAGAGATCATTAAGAAAAATACATATCTCTACTCTTTTAGTTTGTCAATTATAATTAGAAGACGGTTAAGTCACTTATAATTACCCAGTTATCGTGGCCTTCATATAACGAAATCCGATCTTGCGAACTCGAAAGGAATACTGTAAGCCCTACAGCTAGAACCTATGCAGAGAAACCCATGCATTCCTTTTAAAACTCATTGTAAGAGTTGTGGAAGCCTACAGTTACATGTTAAACACAATTTTGGATTTGACTCTAAATATATCTTTCTAAAAAAAAAAAGAAATTATAATCATACTATATCGCTAAGTACTCTCATCAACTGCAACTAAAATTAATTTAGAGCAAAAAAAATTGATTTAAGGCGAAGAAACTCCACATTGTCCCAGATTCTTAATTTTATCATACCGAATTGTGATATTTACCTGCGTCCGTCTACCGCCTGTGCTGTTCCTAATGATTTGACGTCGCAGAAATAAATTATATATTTGCAAACAAAAGGTTCAAGTGAAATCTATTAACCAGCTTAACTATAAACATTACTTCACCCTCGGTGAACTTTTGTACCATCGGTAAGATACATCCGTTTTCTTTATTATATTTTTAATGAATTTCAATCAATTTCTAATTTAATCCCTTAGAACAAAAACGCTAGTTAATCACGTTTGCACATAAAACGCTTCAAAAAAAAAAAAAAACAAACTAATCTGCCTTCCAACACAAAAGTAAACAGTTGAAAGGATTTCTTACTTTTTTGTCTGTTTTTTTTCGGTTGGCATTAGTAATCATCAAAGCGAAGTGGTTTGTAAAGATATCAAGTCTGAATGAAGTCGCTTTCGGCGAGCTTAGTAAAAAACTCATCAGTAGAAACTAATTTCATAATGAAATTCCATTAAAGTTAATAACGTTTTTGTAGGAAAATGAATGTACGGAAAGTGAATAAAATAAAGCAGAAATATGTAACCATGAATAAATGAAACTCCCCAAAAATTAGTAGGTGAACACCCCGTCAAACGCCTGTGAAGTTAGTAGGCTTAACGTAAATCGCTGCACCATAATTCAACCACAAAACGGTTTCATTTAGCCTGCCTCCTTGTTCCTTTGTCCTACCTTGTACTTTTCCATTGCTTCACAACACAAACAAGCTCTCAACTGGACATGATTAAGCCGTATCCTTCCACACAAAAACATTATGTTTATTGCTTTTGAAAATCTGTTACTAAAAGTATGCTTTGTTGAGCTTTTATATGCAATATGTGTGGCTTATGAAGAGACTAAAGGTTAAAGAAAGGTATTTATAGTAACAGAAGTTTTTCGAGATTAGTTAGGTATGGCAAAAGTACGAGTTATTTGTCAGTCAAATGCTTCTAAATTTATTTTAAATATTTTAATTTAACATAAGTATTAATGCACCTGTAACAAAAAAAAATATAGAATACATTTTAAAGACAATTTCTTTTCATATGGCTATCAAAAGCCTAGCATAAGTCCACCCAAGCCTATGGAGATTATTATAACAATGTTATAGTATCATTATATCATTATAATTAGTATATGAACATTGATTTTAACAATCTCTCTCTTTATCGATACCATAATAATATAATAAGAAACTCACATAGATCCTATGACCTTTTCGTTGTTTAGAATCCATTTTCCACATAATGGTTTTTTGATGCGTGTGAAGTACCAGAAGTCAGAGAGAGTTATAACTGATGGATTGATTGGTTGTGTTTCGACAATTCGTACTTCATTTTACTGCTTAAAATTAAACATTCTTGCATTATGTCTTAACTTGACGATTAAATGGCGCTTCCCAAAGGTCTTAAGCAGCCTTGTAATATAGTTATTACCAAAAACCGTTCTTCAAAAAAAAACTGTAGGCGGCTATCAAAAATCACTCTCTCTAAGTTTTTTTTTAAATTATTTTGTATGAGTTTTACATCAAAGTAGATTTAAATCAATGTCAAAAGTAATAAGTTTAAAAGAATTTTCTTCTTTTACATATACAATTTTTTTCGGCTCTTGTTCATTATCAAAATTTCTCTGTATTTTTAAATTAATTTTCAATTTTTTTATTTATTAATTCTACACCAGTGAAATATGGCTTTGGAAATTGGTTCTAGCGTTTTGGTTATATTTATCGCACTAATGCTCTCCTATGCGCTATTTTTTTTAATTATTTTCTTTGGAACTCAACCATGTCTTAGGAGACTACGTGGAGAATTAATTGACGATGTTGACTTCAGTGAAGTAGCTCAGGAACATGGTAATGTAGATTATATAGAAGTGCCTCTACTAGCAAATGACACAACTGTTATTCAAGTGGAAGAAACTGAAAATGAACCAGATATAGAAGAAAATGTTTCCTATGTCAATGAAAATCTGTTGAAATATGAAGAACACATTACCAACTATGAGGAAAATGAAGTGGCATGTTCTGCATGAATTTGATATTTATGGTAATATGTTTCATTTTTTATATATAATTTTTTTTTTAAAGAAATTCGTGATAACAAAATTCGTAAACTTACAAAATAGACTTCGTTGTTTTTAAACTAATCTATCTATGAGAGTCATTAGTATGTATAACAGATTTCAGCTATGCCAAATTTCAATTACATATATTTGTTATAAAATATTTGTTATAAAATGAAAATACTTCCTAAAATTTTATTCACTCTTCTATTTCCCTTCCTCGATATCATAAGTGCAGACTTTATAACGCCATATATATAAAAATGGCGAATCGCTTGCACGATAAGAGGCAAGTGGTATTTGGGTTTCTTAAGCCATGCGAATTATTATGATTTCTCTGAAGAGAGTCTTCTAAGCTAACTCAAAAAGTGTAAGGCTATAAATAGCATCCATTACTTCAACATTCTACACATCATTCACTTCAACGCTGGTCGTATATAGGTACTGCCTTCGTTTTCTGGTAGTTGCAAGACATAAGTAGATAAGGTAGGTAGAAATTTCACTTTGCATTTTATAAAATCTGTGGGTGTGAACGATTGTGAATTGGAGCGAGTGCAATTCAGTAATCAGTGAGTAATCTAAGTTCAAAACTGTTTAAACCCCAGATAGAAGAGTTCGAATGTTTTAATCTTCCTAAGCTTCGACATTTGTATAAAAAAATGTTAGCCTACCATTTGATAGTTCTGAATCATCCAAAATATTTAATTTTTGCTTCTAATCTGTTATCTCTATGTAATACTTAGCATAGAGAGATCCTGTTATAAGCATTAGCAGTGGTTCTCCATTCATATGGCAGGGACACTTATGTTATCTAGCTACGAAATGTTTTAATTAATCATATGGTGCCTTTTATTAAAAGCAGCATTTGGGTATTGTCTTCAATATATTAGATACTTTCAACGCAGATTTGCTTCGACCTTGCTATTATCTAAGGCAGTCAATTCATATTCCTTTGAACAATTGTATTCAAAGTTCACGGAATGTTTTAGTCAAATATTTGAGTCTTTTGAATCATAACATTTCTGATAATCATGTTTAATGCTTGTATTTTAATGACGATGCTGCTATTATGAAAAAAATCTTAAGCTTTTCATATATGATATATTCAAAGTCATGACTTCTAATTGCATTTTTATTGGATCTTTTATATATGCGAACTGTTGAAAATATAATTTATTATTCCTTTCATTCTAAATTTATATTTATATTTATTTTATGCAATATTTTATTTTACCGTGAAATACAAATCCGATATAAAGTGTACTCCTGCTAACAAGATAATTAAGATCTCATAATATTTTATGGCTTAATACTTAAAACCAAAACATAAATCATTCAAGTTCATGATTTATTAATGCAGAAAAAAGAAATAATATATAAAATATATGCTTCAAAAAATCTTCTAGTAGACAAAAATATATAAAGTCAGCCACAGAAAAGTCAGTATCAAGAAAAAATTATTCACTGGACTGCAAAAGACCTAAGCACAATCAAAAATGCCAATTAGTGAAAGAGAAATGCCAGTCAAAAGGACTCTTTTGCATTTTCGCGCCTTTGCGATTTCGTTGATTTGAAATGCATTCACGTAAATAAAATAAATAAGATAAAAAAGGAGATCCTTTAATTTGCTGCAATAAATTTGATTTAAAAGAAAATTGTGGTGTGGTTATAATTACATTTCTACATCAAAAAATCCTTTGAACCAGTTTATCTCTCAATTTTTAATATTTTGAGCATGAAAAACGCAAGGATTTACTAAATCCTTTTCATTTGGCTTCTTTTTCGTGCTAGTTTTTCCATGCCTTGATGTGTGGCACTTTTTGTCGCTGTAAGATGTTGTCAGCCAATCGACTTGAGCAGCAAAACAACTTCCGGCGGCTGTGGAGCATCGTTCACTTGCAAGCAATGCCAACGAGTTCTGGCGAATACACCAACACTGCCGAGGCCTGTTTTGATGTCTCATAGACGCATATAAATTAGATGTCATAAAATCCAGCTATGAAGTGTACTCAAGCGGTGTGGGCTTGATTTCTGGTGACAAAACACTTCAGCCGCATTCGGTAGCAGTGCTAGTCTTTTTGCTCTTTGCTCCTTACGTATTTATTTAAGCAAGGACCATTTTGTGAAGATAAAGAAGTTATGTATTAATTTAAGTATTTGCCGGACGTGTTGTTGATTTCGTACTCTTGCAGATTTCTGCCTTTGAGTCTAGGGTTGCCAGGCCGACGTTGTTGTCAAGTGTTGGCACTTTTATATTCACACTTAAGTTGATTTGCATGCTGTCTTCGCTTTATCGTCATCATTTTATTTGCTACTTTTTCTTTACCTCAACATACCCCACTCTTTTCTTGCTTCATTTTTTATTTTTGATGTATTGCTGCTGTTAACTTACATTAGTGTGTTTAAGGCTACTGAGGGACTTAGTGGGCGTAGTACGAACTTGCAAGTTAATGGTTTTAAAGTTAGTTAAATTAAATTTGAAACCTAACTTCTTTTTGTTTGACAATATTTTTACCACAATTTTCAATCCTACTGTTTCCATTCAGTGCTGCTCCTTCAAGCAAATATTGTTGACAATTACTGCTATTTTTATATGCGGTTCTTGTGGTGCTGTGGTTGCAAATTCATTCATTTTCAGATGCATCTCTTTCACTTGAGTTGTTTGTTCTGTGCAATAATCATAACTCCAATTAGTCTGACTGGAAACTAATAATAAGTAAAGCAAATATTTTATTACGCAAGTATATACATATAAATAAAAAATCGTGATAAATTATGGTACCGACTTTCTTTTGAAATACTTACAGTGATCCTGATTTTGCTAAAAGCATCCATAACTCGCTTAATTCAGTTTTGTTGTTTTTTTTTGTTTTTTTTACCTCCTCCAACCCCTTTGAACACTTAAATTTTATATGAAATCGTGTTTGAGTTTTTAAATTATAAAGTATAGCTAATCTGAAGAAACTAAGGCTTCATATATATATAAATGATTTACGAGATTTGCGAGAGAAAGTAAGATATATCGTTCTGTTCAAAAACGGCAATTATTAATTAACTCCCAAGAACTTAATATAAAAACAAGTATTTCTATTTAAAAAAATGATAACTTCATGGCTGATTCCAAATGTGGATGTATATAAAGACTTAAAGTTAGTAAATAAAAAATGAAAAACTGAACCATTTATTTTATTTTATATAGTTCAGCTAATTTAAATGCTAGAGGAGCTTCATTTGATTCGCTCTGATTCTATAATGGATGGGAACCAAGATGAATGTTCTGCACTGAGATCATGAGTATTAACAACACTCTAATCTAAACTAATCTATTAACATCAAAATAATAGATCATTTTCTTAACTTGAATTTTTTAATAGTTAGTTTCTGCTAGTTTTGCTTTTCCATTATCCAAGCTTTCCTTTAATCTATATTTATCCTACTCAAAGATGTCTAAGATTCAAAAACTAGTTTTCACGTAAAAGAATTGATTTAATATTACTTTAAATAAATAGTGACGTTTCCATAATTTTCCAAAAAGGCAGTTCTATTGGTGGTTCGATTTCACCAAACTAAAATATTATATATATTTGATTTTAAACATATTCATTTTCCGATAGACATGAATTCTATTCAGTATGGCAGTTTAACATTTTCAAGTTGTAAAAAAGTGTAGCAGAAAGATAATGACAATATACACTTTACGTCACAACAAACCGACCATAATTTATATATATGGTATATAAAAAAAGAAGAAAATTATAGTTAAACATGAATTTAATGTCAGAAGATGCAAATATTTACTTAATTTTTTTTTTAACTTACGAGTATATAAATTGTATTTTTCGGTTATTTTAAACTATGATTTAATTTCTTCTTTTTCTGTCTTATTAATTCTTAATTTTTGAAAATGGGTTGCGATGCCGGTCCAGCTCACCCTTTTATCATGTTGTTTGCATTAACTATAATGGCAATTGCTATGCTGTTCATAGCAATTCGTTTTGGCAACACCGATCCAGTAGAACTAAAAGATGATTCTATACCCTTATTGCAGTTATCAGAAGAAGAAGCTATAGACACAGATAGGGTGGAGACGACACCGGTGGAATTTATTAAAACTGTTCATTGGGAACCTTTTAGATCAGAAGTTCCATTGGAATACTAGGTAATAATCAAACACTTATTGCAGTTTCAACAGGCCAATCTGATTCTATTAAAACTCATACCCATCACATTTCTATAGTGAGTTTTCCTTCTTTAATAACTAGTGCTTGGTTCCAACAGCAGTTTTTGTTAAAACACAAACTGATTATTACTTTACAAAATAATAATTATAAATATAGAGCAGTTCATTGCTTTTATTTAGCTCTAATAATTTTATCGAGAAAGAATTGAGAGTGTGTTCTGCCTTTTAAATTAAAATCAAATTTTTATTTTTGAAAGAAGTCGGTTTCATCTAATTCGGCTTCTTATTTTGTTAAAATATCTTAATATTAATAGGTCATACAAGTGATCAGTAAGTAGGAATCCTATTAGTGATAAAGTGAGATTTCCATCTTAATAATAATAGTACTAATAGTAATATTAGTATCCAATTAATATTAAGATAACTTACTTAAAAAAGATATATCAAAGCAGTTTGATTTTACTTTCAAAAATCGAAGAGGTAAATTTCTTTTTTTTTTGTTAACAGATTTAATGTTGGTTTTGGTTATTGTTTTTTATTAAAATTACTGTTTTACTGTTTTTTTTTCTATATTTATTAACTCACAGTTTTCGAAATGTTGCTCGAAGTAGATTCCAATGTATTACTTACACTAATAGGAGTATTGCTTATGTATACAATTTTTTTCTTAATACTTTTACTTGGTACTTCTCCATGTCTACGAAGATTCCGTGGAGAAGTTGCTGAAAGTTTTTATTTAATTCCATCATCGATCGAGGAGAATGTAGAGCCTCCACCTGTACCAAGTCTACTACTTGATCAAAATGAAAGCGTTACTGAAATTAACAACTTTGAAGAATATTTAGAAACAAATGAAGTAGTTGTGCCATTAATTCGATCCTTTATAGAGGTAATCAGAATATACCGAGTTGGTCTATTCTTTCCATATTTCTGCCATACTTATCTTCTATTAGATGACTTATCTGAAATTACTGTGGGAATATAAAATATCGAAATGCACAGCCTGCATTGAAGACAGCAGGTGTTTTGTAGAAAGTTAAATTTTTTTCATAGGGTTGACAATAGTGAGCTAACGCGATTTAAGATTCCTTGCTAATGCAAGTACTTCCATTTATTAGAAGTTTGTCTCATGATTGTCAAAATACTTCGAAATTTACTCTTATATATCTTTTTATTTTATTATTTCATGGTGAAGCGAAATACTGATGAAAGTGATGAGATTCTTATATATAATACGTGGAATTTTGTAAATACGCAATACCACAGAGTTTTCGACTGGGTAAAATTCAATTATATGGGTAAACGCTATTGTGTATCGGTCTTCTCGTGTTTCAGCAGATCACGAGAGATACATAATAGCTCTGGCTGCTGTTGTTTATCTGTTAAAAGCGCCCCGGAGCTAAACAGAAACTTTAAAATTGATTCAGTTAAAATAAATATATTTGTTTGTGTGGAAAATGATGCTTTTCATCTGAAACCTTAATAACTTTCGTTATTTTTACATTTCATTACAGTTGCAAGACGACCATCCAACTCAGTGAGCAATGGACGAGCACATTGCAGAGACGCGACACCCGTCAACCGTGTTCACTTGCAATAAAGAAGAAGCATAAACAGAATTCGCAAATGCACTGCAACACACCGTGAATTGCAAATAATAAGACCGAGAAAAACAAACCCAAAACCCGAAAACAGACACAAACAAATTGCCAATTCAATTGGAATTGAAGTGACTGAAACGTGCTGCATTATCCTTCGTTGGCGCAAAGGTGTCAATGCAAAAATAAAAGCGAATTTGTAGTAGCATAAAATAGGAGATGCAACAATGTCAATGGCTGCGTAATGCGCACCTGAAACTGCTCAATTGCAAACGACGTGCCACGCACAACCTGAACCGAACCAGTGGAAACTGCATCCAGAGTTGCTATTTGGATCTGTGTGAGTTTTGCTGATTGCTTAACAACTCTGTTGCAGCAGCTGCCTGCCTTTATGCTGTGAAAACATTTTATTTTGCTGATTCTGCAACTGCCAAACTGATAGAGTCACAAACACTGAGCACTGAGCACTGAGCATTGAACACACCAAAACTAAAAAAGGGAATTGGAAAAACCAAATCAGAACGAAACTTTCCAAAACAACTGCAAATTTTGTTTTTATCAAAAGAACTGCGCTGCTCTGATTCATTGCCACGCGCGCGGTACGGAACTCGACGACTATTTGACGCGCACACTACAAAGGCTAGCAACAGATTTTAGCCATTAACTGATTCCACAGTTGCAACTATTGTTGCAATTGCATGTGCAACTGGCACGTTAAGCTCACTGGTTGCAGTGTGCGTAATATGTGCTAACAAATTTTCACTTGAAAGGACACCACAGTTACCGAATGTTATCAATATGAAAATAAATTGCGTTGCAATTTGCCTTTCAGGTGAGTTCCACATTTCACATACCATGACCACGTAGTGAAAGTGAAATAAATTTTTATTTTGCTTTAATTTTTATCAATTACGTGATTTGTGCCTAAATTAATTTAAAATTTTGTTTTTCTCACAGTTGTATGCCTCTTCGTGCTGTCATGCCTTCCAACTGCGACAGGCGACGATTGGTCTGCAAGTTGTGCCTCAAACTGTACCTGCAAATGGACTAACGGTAAGAAATCTGCCATCTGCAGTTCCTTAGAGCTCACCACGATTCCAACGACACTTAGCACGGAACTGCAAGTTCTTGTGCTAAACGATAACCACATACCGTATCTGAATCGGGAGGAGTTCACAAATTTGGGTTTACTCAACTTGCAACGCATTTACCTTAAAAAATCCGAGATTCAATATGTCCACAAGGAAACCTTTAAGAATCTCAAAATCCTGGTTGAAATAGACTTATCGGACAACAAAATTGAAATGATTGACAAGGACACCTTTATGGGCAATGATCGTCTACGCATTTTGTACTTGAATGGTAACCCATTAAAGAAGTTGGTTGCCTATCAATTTCCAATACTGCCACATCTACGCACTTTGGACTTACACAATTGTCTGATATCATATATAGACCCCATGGCCCTGGCGAACCTTAACTTGCTAGAATTTTTGTATTTGAAAAATAATTTGCTTGAAAGCCTGAGTGAGTACGTCTTCCAGCACATGAATAACCTGAAAACGCTGGTAATGGATGAAAATCCTTGGCAGTGCAATTGCAAATTGCGCAAATTTCGCAGTTGGTACGTGAAGAGTAAACTGAACAGCATCAGCCTTATATGTAAAGGGCCGCCAGCTTATAAAGATAAACCCTGGGAACAAGTGGACGAAGAGTTATTTGGCTGCTCACCAAGAGTAGAAATATTCAATAATGAGGATGTGCAAAATATTGACATAGGCAGTAATACCACATTTAGTTGTCTAGTTTACGGTGATCCGCTGCCCGAAGTCACGTGGGAGTTAAATGGTAAAATACTGGACAACGACAATGTCATTTTCGATTCGGAAAACATTGCTTCAGACAAACTCTGGAGTAATTTAACAGTATTCAATATGACAAGTCTTGATGCAGGTACTTACGCATGTAGCGGCTCAAATGCAGTGGGCGCAACATCGCAGAATATTAGCATTTACCTCACAGAAATTGTACAACATGTTCTGGTAAAAACACCGGAAACCTTTTGGTACTTTGGTTTGATTATGGGTACATTTGGTACGGTTTTCCTACTTATACTCATCTCGTTCGTGGTGTGCTTTTGCAAGCGCACAACACGTCAGCGCAGACATCCGAACAAACCAGGCGTTAAGGCGAGTGTAAGTTTTAACGATCAAGAAAAGAAACTGCTAGACCTAAGTATAACAACTACGACTAACGACCGTGGCGATAGTTGCATCATCGACAATAACACCACAACTACCATGAGTAAGACGGAATCAGTTATAGGTTTTGAGCCCATTGAAATTCATGCAGTTGATAATCATCGATCAAACCACAGTCACCATGGTGTTTTACTCACTGGCCAACATCAAATATCTCATCAGCAGCAAATGCAGCAACATCATATGCATTTACCAAACTCCAGTGGTGCAAATAGTTTAATGAACAACCGCCAGCAGCTCATTGCTGTAGCTGATGGTTCGTGTAGCGTTGTTGGCATACCAACATCTATGGCATCTTCCTCAGGTCTACATCCGAATCCTATACCAGAGGAGTTTCCCCTGAACGTCGGTGTATTTCCACCACCACCGGAATTTTGTTCTAACGTTGTACCAAACCCCGGATATGGCAATATATTTATTAGTGTATCTGTGACACAGGATATGCTAGACGGTGCTGATATTAATATGTACCCAGATTTGCTTAACATACCGAAACGCCTACAGGATAACACAGTACAAAGTGGTACTTCGAGTACAGCTGTTACTTGTAGCACTGCTGGTGCTATATTGCCCCCGCCTGGCACGGCTGTCAATGTATCCTCTTTCGCAACTCTGCCACGTAACACACATCGACGTGGCATACTGAAAAAGGAATCATCATTACAACATCAACATATGCTGCAGCAGCAATCACTAACGCAGCAAACTAACTTGTATCCACATGATGAAATTGTATCCTATCACAATCTCGATACAAGCTATAGTCAAGCCTATCAAGAGCATCAGCAGCAGCAGCAACAACAACAGCAACAACAGCATCTAAAGCACGCATCCAATATTGTCGGTCTACCACCACCGCCACCACCACCTGCAGCGTGCCTACACAATCAAGCTTTACCGCCTAACTGTAGCACACCACCAATTGATGCAACGCCCATGCGTCCACTGTGCAAAAGTGCAGCTGGCGCTGGTTGCTTAAAATACGATAATATGGGTCGTCGTTTTACTGCAAGTGGAAATTCAACACTTTCGCTGCCCGATGAGGAACGCCTGGAAAGCGAAACGCATTTCAACGAGGGCGAACCCTTGACTAAGACACCTGCAGCTACTGGAATCACAAAGCAATCATTGAATTGCAAGCAACAAGACTGCAACCAACAACAGCAACAACAAAATGCGAATTCTAGTGCCACTGCTAATTTAACAGCTGACAGTGGGGGCGGAGTAGAGTTCGTGTCACTGTAGTATTACGGGACCCAAGTGTAAATATGTTTAAAGTAGGCGCAGTTGATATATTTGTAGGCAAATTAAGATAACCTGAATCCATAAGCTAAAGAAAATTGAGAATTAATAAATAAAGAAAAAGAAAATTTTTCAAAATTTAACAAAATTCGTTAAGTTTGTGTACATAACCTCAAATTATATTCTAGTCAAAATTTGCACTTAAAAAATTAGCAGAAATAATTACTATAATAAGTAAATAGAAAATAGAAAGATATAAGAAAATAAGAAAATATCATTATTAATAACAATTACTAATTAATTTAATTAATTATAGACATTTTTTCTGACATCAAAATCATTAAATATTTATTAAATTATATTATTATGCCATTATGTATATATATACTCCTTAGTGAGGTAACCTTAGTGAGAATCTAAGTTGAAAATCTACATGAGTTATATGATGGTAATATAAAAAATAATATTAATATTTATTGTACAACAATAGATACGACGTACCGTATTTTAGAAACAAATTTGTAAATTGAAAATTATATTCATCATTAGCCGACCATTTTTTTAGGATCCATGTAAAGCTATTATAAATTGGTGTATATAATATATAATATGGTAGCGAGCAAATCAGCTCACTTAGAAGGACAGTTATACTTCTATTAAAAACAAAGTAGTAAGCTCTATATGTCAATAACATAAAAAAGGTCTCTTAAACCATAATTGAAAGTTTCTACTCTGAGGTTCTGACTCTGAGTTTATATATGCAAAATATGAAGAAAATTTTAATTAAATAAAACAAGTTTTAAGTGATATCTTAAGAAAAACAATATTTGTTTATTATTGTTGATATTGTATAATTTTTCTCGAAATGACTGTCTAATTTCTTATGTTCTATTATTATCGTGTGAGTTCCCAAATATATTATTTGCTCTCTAATAGTTAGATTTCCTACTGTCTTTTATATAAAAGAATCATTTTTTGGGGGCTTTGCTACTATCGCAACTGCTACTGAAAATTACAATTGTCCAACCCTTGAAATCAATTTTCTATTCTTATAATAATAATTCCCATATAAGAGCGAATCAACTTATCTGCTATATTGTTTGCTACTGTTATCACTCTGGTCTGATAACCAGATAAGTTCTTGGATAAGTTCTTGTCTCTGCTAATTTTGTTACTTTAGATAAGCTGACTACAATTTGAATTATGGAGTCTGTATTTGCTGCTTGACTAATAAGTACTTTAATATCGGTTTAATATCGGCATGTCTTTCCAATAATATATATCAGCAGTGAATTTAAGTGCCACAATTTTCACTTGAAAACACTTGTCTCCTTGGTTGTAACGGTTTGCTTATTGTCTTAGTTCGTTACAGTGTGTTAAAATAGTCCAGAGTCGATTGACCGATATCATGATCGACCTCGAGTGGGTTACCTTAAACTTTCTTTAGTTTGCTAAAATACCATATTTTTACTATTTTTCTCTGCATATATACTTAGTGTGCAGGTTTGTCAGCCACAAATATTGATAACTTAACCTAGACTTCTATAAGATTTTTTTTTGTATTGGTAAATTATTCGTTCATGGAATGGTAAATAACAATCCTGACATTCTTGGTTATGTATCATTTCTTTGAAACTTTCAATGAAAAACTATTGGAGCTATCTTAAGTGTTTAAGATGTAATTAATGTTTCAGTATTTACTATTTTGATTTTCCGGTATCTACTAAACCATTTTAACTAAGTAAGTCAGTGTTCTAAATCACATAATATACAAAGAAATATGTAATTATTTTTTATTTTAATATATTATAAATTACAGTGACTGGTCTTAAAATAAAGTGAACAATAAAATTAAGGAAAAAAGTTACAATTATTCGAGCTTAGGTACATTCGAAATAAAAATTTGCATTATTTGAAGTATATCTAATATAATATATATGTTTATGTATATATATAATTACAATATTTCAGTACAACAAAAGAAATTAATTAAATAAATTAAATATATCAGATGTTAACGATTTTGCCATCATTCCATTCTTAATACAAACATTTCATTGATAAAATAAAAACTCATATAAATTTCTATCGTAGTTTATATATAGAATAAAAAATTAACACATTATGTATAAAATATTTAATGAAAGTGTAAATAATAGCTAAGAATAATTTTTGACTCTTAACAGAATTTATCTCTTAAATGAAGTAAAACTGAAGAATAAGTTTAAATTTAGAATAAAATCAATAAATTTCATATTAATTTATAAAAAATACTATAAGTTCAAAAAAATGTAAATGTTCATGAAATTTATAAATATTAAAGTCAGAAAAGTTTAATATTAGTACTAATATATATTAATTAAAAAATTAAATATTGTAATATTATAAAAACATCAGTAAAACTTAACTTAGATTTTAAAGTCCCCAACATTTCTTTTATTGTAAATTTAAACATTTTAAAATCATATTTCGTTAATAATTTTGTACCATATATAGCTTAAATATTAAACAAACTTTATAAAAGAAACCTCCTATGAGCATTCCTCATAATATAGTATTTAACTATAAAAAAATTTATAACAAAAATATATTTAAAAAGATATCTAGCACCTAAGTAATGACCCTTAAAGCAAATTGGACAGAAAAGTGATCAAATTAAAAATCAAATAAATTTAAATAAAACTACATTTATGTAAAAATAATTGAACTTCTTTTCAATAAAATAAGACTAGAAGGTAAGTAAGATTTGAAACAGTCATATCAGCATAAATATGTATATAAAATGAATATACCATATCTGTGAAGTGAAGGCTCTACTAAGTGGACCCCTTCTGTTACTTGTACAATGCTGCTTGCCCCCAGAATTCGAATTTTATATAAAGTACATCCAGCTCTCAGACAAAATTTCTGCTCTTCTCTATATAAAGAAAGTTTTCACTATATAATATACTTTATATAGTATAGAATATGTGTTCTTGTTGCAAGATCACAATATTTTGAATAATGGCAGCCTTGGCACAATAATTTAGTATTGATATTGACCTTAACCAAAATATTTACCATAAAAAATCTCAGTTAAAATACGGATGATCTATATTAACAGTATTGAACAGAGTGGGCGTGGTTTGTATTAACAAAACCTTCACATTTATACTACTTTGACCAAAAAAAACTCTGCCGCCACTAAAACCAACTGCAGTTCCTTTAGATAATTTAAGAAGGAACTAAGCAAGAAACTTAAAGATCAAATCAGACACCAGAACAACGTACTTGGAGAGCAAATTCTATTGTAATAAGTAGAGCAACTCGAATGACGCAATATTGTTGTGGGAATCAGCTAAATAGATACTTATAATTCACATGATGTATTTACAATTTATAATCAGTTTATAGACAGGCTGAGTAGGAATACTGAATAGAAGTTATTGCAAAATATAGATTATAATTTTAAATTATTAACGTAAGTGTGAATCAAAAGTTTTATTGTGTGATGAATAATCGTACTTGCTTGATCGAGAGTATTATTTCCTGATTGAAATCAAATCACCAAAATGGTTAAAAGTGTTTAATTAATTTCTTTATATATAAAGTATTTTTAGTTTTCCCCAGCATTAATGTTAAACATCATACAGTGTGCTTACACATGTGTCAGAAGTTAATCAAAACAGCGCTTATACGCTTTCAAAAGTCTAAATACCTATGCTGAAGTAACTTAATTTCGTATTTAATAATGCAACGTTTTACTCACAGGTGAAGTAGTAAACATATACGTATAAGCAGGTCGTTCCTTGTAACAAGCAAAGTGCATTTTACTCCACCTTTGAAATGCTGAAAGCATTAAATCAGAAAAGCATGAACGCACTTGCATCAGTTGCAAGTGCTTTAAGTTGCAATATTATTTGCAACACGACTGAATACTTGTTCCTTTGCATAACTCAAACGTAAGTGAGAAGGCATTAGGCGCACTCTTAATTAAAGGGATTAGTTGACTTGCCAAACAGCGCAGTGAAGCGGAAAAATATTATGTGTAATGCATGTTGAAATACAAAGAGAAATATGCAATGGCATCCGAGCTAAATCCAATGATTACATCAATGCAATTGTGTTTTGTGGATATAACACAATATTCAATGACGTCAGTTAAATAATGTAATAACGTTGGGTTGCCATCGTATAAACAAAGATGAAGCAATCACACAAACACACGCACATCACATTAGATCATACATCTGATTTTCATCAATAAAACCTTAGGCATATTTGTGGTTACAGAAGATGGACGTGTATCTTAGAATTATCCAAAAAACAAAAAAATTAACAAACACCCACAAAACAAATTCCGACTTACCATAAATAATTGCCTTGAACTAATAATGAGGCACTGCAATATTAAAATGCCTTTACCCCCCACATTAAAAAAATGAACTGTCATTTCTACATACGCAGCGGCATATATGCACTCTCGGAACGGCGTTATCTGGCAGATTTATTTTGCAAAAATAATTAAAATGCAAAAAATGAAAATTACTTAATTAAAGCAGCCATAATGAATTCCTCGTTTCGTGTGCAATTCCAAATTGGTTGGGTAAAAATATTAAATATACTAAAATATAAAATGCAAAATAATATATTTTATTTTTAAAAGTCATTTTTAATTCTGAGTTGCGTTAATGGCTCAGGAAACATTTGCGGAGGCGAAATCAAAGTAGAATTAACTTTGCTTTAAAAGCAGAATTCTTAGCTTTGAGTGCAATGCTTTCCATTAAAAATCCAAATTAAAAAAAAATTAAATAAATTGCATGCTTCATATATACAGCCTTTAATTAACTAAATGGCCCAAACGAAGAAGCCAAAGTTCTGTACTTATTAAGCCATCAAAATCATGAAGGATTCAGAATCCTATCGCATATAAACGGTTTTTTGTTTTTAATTTTCGCAGAGAGGAAGAGTAAAATATTTTGAGTGGGGCTTGTTTAATAGCGAAACATGTAGAAAGAACAATACTTCATCAAATGTTATTTAGAATATTATTAATCATTTGTACGACAAACGTAACGATAATGCAAAACTCTTTCGGAAAACACAATAATATATGAGTTAAGAATATCACTACATTATTTGAAATATCTTATCAGACATATGTATACA